TTAAGAACAAATCTGTGCGTACGAACGGTTCTTGCATGAGGCCCATTGTTTCTATGGTTCTGTAAAGACTGCTTCATTTCTGAAACTTCACGTTTGTGTGGAACATCGTGGTCTCCATCTGTGGTTTATGAACGGCCACAGGCTGCATGAAGACAAACTGGAATTGTTTATTGAAAGAGCCTGGTGTCAGAGGAACTCAGAAGTAGGCTGCAACAAATCTGAATTCATAACTAACTTTACTCATCTTAAATTAGTGCTTTTTGTGCTCAACAAACATTTTGGATGAGAGTTTGTAATGCTGTGGCTCCAGAAGCTGGTGAAACCCAGTCTTTTTTCTACAGCAGAGTTTCAGATCTTAAATATGAAACCATTCATTGATTCAGTTTAAACAGGGTTGATGGTTTGTCTTTATTCTTTTACTGAACACTTTGTTACAGAGAGAAAGTCATGTTGACCATACAGTGCTTCCTCTAGAATATTGGCCTTGGGAGGGCGGTGGGCTTTTGAACACAGAATGATGATTGACGGCAAAAATATTATTAGTATTAACAGGGTTCACACGGGTCCTTGAAATCCTTGAAAGTTTGTGAATTTGAAAAATGATTTCAAGGMCCTGGAAAGTTTGTGAAAACAGCCAAAAATTACACTTGTCCTTGAAAGTCTTTGAATGTTTTCGGGGGATTGACATTCTTTACTCACACAACTGATTTTCATCATCTTTTAAAAAAGAAATTATAAAATTTAATAAAAAATAAACATAAGATTTGTTGCGGTGGATAACTCAAGATTACAGTAAACTGACGTCATTGTTTCTGACTCAACAACTTCTATGTTGTTCAGTTTTTCATTGACTGTACATGATATTAAACCTGTTTATTGGTAACGTTCTGGGGTAGCAGTAGGTAAACGCTTTTGCGCGTGGTTCTTTAATTTGAGGAAATTGGTACTGGAAAGTCCTTGAATTTGATGTTGGCCAAGGTGTGGGAACCCTGTATTAAGACTGCAGCTTTTTTAAAAAATAAAAATTACAGAAACATGAAAAAAATCAGCAATTTAATTTGCATTTGTTGAATCTTATATATCTCACTTAAATAACTAAAATAAATTATGTCTAGTAATAAAACCTGGAATATAACTGGTGAAGCTGATTAAGTGTAAAAATGACCTGCCATAGAGTTGAGCTTTGCTGATAAAGATGTGCTGTGCTCACAGCAGAGTTCTGTGTTGATGCTGCTAGCCTGAAACAACTTTCACCCTGTAGTGGTCAAGTCCCGTCTCTGTTCAGTTCTGCTCAGGTGTGTGTGTTCCTCACTGTGGTTTTGTCCTGTAGTCTGACCTTAATTTTTATTTATTTATTTTTAATGTAAGAGCACATGTAACTGTGGCCGGCCACGTCTGAAATAGACACATTATCAATGATAACTTCTTAAAGCACACTTGTGGAGAACAAGGGTCTCTGTTTCTGCTCCTCACTCCTTCAGAAGTAACAGAGCCTTCACCGGTGTGGGGATGCACACTGCAGTATGCTCCCTGTTTTATTACAAACCATGTTTGCGCACGTTGTGCATCCAGTTTGTGCTTTATAGAAAGTTCTTTGAAGCTAAATGAAGCTCAAATGCTCATATAAAGAATAAGTGGCATCTTGTGTTCCTTTTATACCATTCAGCATATCAGAATATTTTAGTTGATTTATAGAGCAGGATGTCCTGATGCATCTCAGTAATCCAGGTAAAAAATCAAAAAGAAAWAAATTGTATAGGTCTTCTGGACGGGTTCTTCTCTAATGAAACGTTTCGTCTCTCTTCCAAGAGACTTCTTCAGTCTGAGAGTTTCAGGTAAAATTCAGGCTTTTAAGTCCTGCCTCCATGTGACTGATACTCACATCACATGGCTATCGTTGACACCTAATTAACACCTATTGTTAACAGGGGGTGGAGTGATACTGGCAATAGCAGCACTGTAGGAGGGGGACAACTGAAAACGGAGGCCTCCACCTCTGTTTAATGATGGACGGTCTTTCTTCACAAAAATGGCTTCTTTTACTCCTCTCTCAAACCAACGTTCCTCTCTATCAAGAATGAGAACATCCTCATCTCTGAAAGAGTGACCGCTGGCCTGTAAATGAGTGAAAACTGCAGAGTTCTGGCCATTAGATGTAGCTCGTCTGTGTTGGGACATTCTTTTGAACAGTGGTTGCTTTGTTTCCCCGATGTATAACTGGTCGCTAAGCTAAATGAAGCACAAATGTTCATAGAAAGAATAAGTAGCATCTTGTGTTCCTTTTATACCATTCAGCATATCAGAATATTGTAGTTGATTTATAGAGCAGGATGTTCCTGTTAAGCCCCCTAAGTCTCTAATTATTGACTGTGCACTGTATTTTTGAGGAGCCACTTTAAAGTTTTGTCATTGAATCAATTTAAAACTCACTTCAAACTAGTGATGGCCAAAAGAAACTTTGTCTTTGTGCCCTCTGCTGGCCAGTATTATAAGGAGCAGCTTAAAACCAGCAGCATGAAATGAACTGCTTCATCAGGGACACCCTTCAGCTGAGTTCACTGCTGTTTAACATCACGAGACACTTTGATATCAGTCTGTCGTTGTGCTTTAAACATGCATTTTTTTGTKTGTGAAAGAATAAAGTTATGGTTATTTGATGAATAATTTTGACAAATGTGCCATGTCGTGACTTATTGATGTTTTTACACACAAGTTCCCTGCCTTCATGCCTTTATCTACTTTACCAGTTATTTACTTTTTGAATTTGTGTAAATTTCTTTCCATGGGGTAAAAGTACTTATAAACTAGTAAAACAAAACCTTCAGGCTGACTTTTCCACACATTTACAGGAAACAGCTGCAGATTAGAACCTGACTACACATGTAGCTCTTTGTTTTTGGTGCAGCAGCTCTGAGAGGCAAACCTGGACCTTGACAAATTTCTAAACATTTGAACCAAGAGGAGATTGATTTTCAGTCAAATGTATGAGTTCTCAACAMTAAAGAACATAAAAGCAAAGGAAATAATCTGCAGTTCATTTGGAATATTAAAACAGTAAGAACAGTCAACACTGATTGTAGAATTAGCTGAAAACGCTAAACTTTTCTGTGTTGTAAGCTARTGTTGGTGATTCTTGCAGGGGTTTCAAGAAAAGGGCTCCCCGTGCCATCAAGGAGATCCGCAAGTTCGCCATGAAGGAGATGGGAACTCCTGATGTTCGCATCGACACTCGTCTCAACAAGGCTGTGTGGAGCAAAGGAGTCAGGTCAGACCATGCTTTGATTAGGATTTCAGGAGAAATGCTACTTAAATTAGACAAGGCTCCACACTGAACTGTCCTGTTTATGCTTTAATTTGTGTAGTGTGTTGTTGTTTTTTTACTCTCAGTCAATGAAAATTCAAACAGTTTTACTTGAACAATCTTTAGCCCACCTGGTGTTGATGGTTCAGCTGTAAACACGTTTTATCYGATTGTGATTTAAACGTCTGTAACTGTCGTTTTCCAGGAACGTGCCGTACAGGATGCGTGTTCGGCTGTCCAGGAAGCGTAACGAGGACGAAGACTCCCCAAATAAACTGTACACCCTGGTCACATACGTTCCTGTCACCACATGCAAAGGTACACATGCTGCTCACCCTGTGTCAGTCTTTAGCAGAAGCTGTACATGTCTTTCAGTGTTATTAATTTATTCATATTTTATCTCCAACAGGTCTGCAGACTGTCAATGTTGATGAAAACTAAATGTGTCCCCTCTGCGAGTGGAATAAAAAATAATTAAAAGCTCTTGTCCTGTGTTGTTTCTGTTTTTAGGACATATTCAGATACTTATTGTGGAATTTGATGATTCTTCTAATTGTTTAAAGGGTCTCTAGTTGTTTGTGGGCTTCATGAAGGTCTTCCTGTGTTTTACATTGTCTGTATAAAAGGTCTGGTATGTAATCACAAACAACCTTTTTGTATAGAAGAGCTACAGTTTAAAAAAAAAACAGATTTTCTCTCCGAACTCTGAGGAAAAAGTCAAAATTCAGAGTTCTATGAAAAATATTTACTAGGGGTGCAACAATACATGAACCTGTATCGAACCGTTCAATACACACTTGTATTGACCAATACAGATATTTTAAATTTATCAACTTGTCTTCTGAAGATGCTCTGTGTTAAAGGATCAGTGGATCTGTGTTCGACTACTTCACCTAGACTGCATTGTCGAGCTCAGATCCACTGAGAAACTTGCTGTTTCAGCAACATTTAATTTAAAAACTACTTTTGAGGTTAAACAAATG